TGCATTTGAATCCTCCTCCAAAAACTCTGCTAGAGGTTATTCTACAATAACCCATACACAATAACCCTCACACTATCACAGGAAAGTTATTCCTCTTAAAGATGTGAAATATGCTCATTTATTGCAATAAATTGTGCRATTCAATATTTTCAAAAGAACGGTGTGACCTATGTGTTGCCTGGCATTTTATGTGTGTATATATACATATATATACACACACACACACTTATAGTATATATAATCATATATAAAAATAAATATACATAAAAATATATGTATATATATATAATAAATACATATATGGCATAAAAGTATGTCCATTAACATTACTGATACCTTAAATTGTGTTTTTTTTTTTTTAATTTGCTTTAATCTTATGAACATAATCTACATCTTTACTTTTCTCTTTACCTTTTGCAGCAAAAAGCACCATTTTATTTTCTACAGACTACCAAGGACTTTTCTTTTTAAACAAAGAAAGAATATCAGCTCAATKATGGCAGTATCAGTATCATGAGCTCTGTGAGTTAAGGGTCGTCTCAGAACATCGGTAGGAATCTGGGCAAACCCAACCGAGCGATGCCACCTTGTGGATATAGCATGAAACTAAATGTAGGTATTTGCCATTACGTATGTGGACTTTTAAAGGCTTTATATAAAATACATTTATTCTAATACTTTAATCAGATTTCAGTGGATTTATAGGGAGTCTCTGTCGTCTTTTTTGCAACACCAGTATAAATTTAAAGGCACATATATTATATGGAAAATAGAGCAGGATCTTGCCCGGCACATCTACATTGACGTCTGCTTTGCTGTGGATGTTTATCAAGCAGACATCTGCCCCGCTACCTGCAACTATTTCTGTCAAGGAAGGAATGGGAAAATATTAATTGCCTACAAAAAAATAAAGAGATAGCATACCAAGTGAAAATAAGGTTGCTAATTTCACTTGCATTTGACCAAAACTGTATAAAATAAAATTACATGTATAAATCCTAAATTTTAAAGTAAATCTTGAAGTCATAAACTTTAAGTATATTATTTAKCTCCTACTGAGATCACTGATTTTAATGGAAATCAAGTGATGGAAGTAAAAACTTGTATTTAAGAAAGTTAGCTGTGAACATTTATCTCAGAAGCTGAGGCTGCAATGCTTGCCAGTGCTATAATTTGTAGTGATAGCAGTTCAAAATGCAAGTTAACCATAACTGACATACAACTTTTGAATATTTTTGGAGATAAAATATTTATACAAACTGCAAAGTGATAGAGGAGTTAAATGCATAACTAAGTGATAGTCAATAAATATTATAAAATACATAGTGAATATCCACTATATTCACTTTTAGACTCTCCCTATTGCAGTTTTAAAGCAAAATTTAAATTATTTTTATTCCAATTATCCACMTACAACATTAATCTTGAAAACATATAGTTTCTGCTTATTATAAGTAGAAAYGTTAATATTTTTAAGTCTCTTGGCTACTTCTAATAGAAAAAYGAGTTTCTATTAGTATGAGTAATAATACAATGGTCAAAGCTTTGCAACCTTGCCTTGTAAATGTCAGTAATTAGAAAACCTAAAGAAAGCAGAAAAAAAAAAGCTTATGGAAATCAAACATCTGGAAAACAGTGTGGCTTTTTTTTTCCCTCCCCTCTCCTTTTTCACTTTCTTTTTGTCTTATCTGTCATCCTCAAAAAAGCTACAGGAGAAAGGATGATATCTTAGAAGAGTCTCCCACCAAGAAGCTATTCATTTGTCACAGAGGACACATTTTACATTGACAAACATTTCAAAGATAAGCTATAAAGTTTGCCTATTCCGCCTTCGTATTGCTGYAGCAGTTTTCTTCTGCCATTAGTATTTTAGGGAGCCACACTGCCATTCAGTGATCAGAGCTGAGAAACTTGAGACCAAAGCTGTTGTTTCCTTTTCTACTTACATACCCAGAAGTTCTGAGTTCCTTTTCTACTTCTGGGTTCAGGAAAAACAAAACAAAATCATCATCATCATCAACAACAAAAATAGTTTAAAACACCTCTAGATTCCTGCCACTCCTTAGTATCTTCTAGCACAGATCAAGCAAATTGTCTTATCCATATTGATAAAGAAAAAAGAAAGAAGGGATCTTTCTTCACTTGCAAATAAATAACTTCATTTTTATGCCCTGACCTGAAATAAAATCAAGCAGCATTTAGTTATCATTTGTCCAGAAGAAAAGGTCATAAGTTGCTTTCAGACTCCTTTCCATTTGGAACATGACTCACAACCAAAGCAGGGGACTTCCCCCAGTCAGGTGCTGGCTTATTAAACAAAAAGAGATACTAATTACACAAGGGCACCAGTTGGATTTGCAAGTCTTGGTAACACTTTTTTGGATGTCTGGACCAGATGCAGACATCATCTTCTGTCTTGGAAAGCCAATAGGCCGTTGATCTGCTACGATTAACATGCAAGTACTGCTTACTGTGTGCACAGGGCTGAGGTTATTGGCATACTCACAAATTTGATCAACCCCTCACGATCACAGAGCTACTGCGAGGGATATGTGTCGCAGGAACATGCTCTTAAAGGAAATTTCTCGAGCTTATGTAATCTTTTCAGTGACATTTTCTTCATACCGGGCGGTTTGGTTGTAATACAGATTATAGACACCAGAGACTGTAGCAATTTAGCATATCACTCTAAAGAGAAAATCTGAAGTCTCTCAAGTCTTGAAGTCTTGCATTTCTGATATTTACTGGCATGTTAGGCTTAGATGAAATTATTATAATCCTGATCSGATCAGCTTGCTCTCTTTGTAGACAAAGAAAAGTAGTGTTTAAGATTTATTTCAAAAGGCCTCAGAAGACTTCTACTCATCTGCAAAAYCATTGCTGTAGGATATCTTTAGCCCACCAATATGCTTGCTACTCAGAGCTTCCCTCTGAAGTCCATGCAAACTTTGATTTTCTGACGTAATGCACTGAGGAGAAAAATATATATTAATAACAGTAGAACAAAGCAGAATGACAAAAGAAATCCTGCTTATTAAGTAAAATAGACAGCTTTTCTAGCTCCAAAAGACACTCCCAAGAACAYGCAGGGTACAGCGCTGACCAGTGTTAATGGACAGGCCCTTTTGAAGGGACATTAGCAAGACACAGAAAAGCTCTGAATCTCACTTGAGTTTTTCCTTTTACAAGTTTTTCTGTAGGAAACATAGTAGTTAAACACACTCCATTTCCTACTTCCTACTGCTTATCTAGAACTAACACAGGAATTTTTCTCAACGTGGAACATATACACACGGGTAAAAAAGAAATATTTTCATATCTTCTSAATATTGAGAAATGTAACAATTAGTAACCATTAACATCAAAATAAAAATGTTGTGTACGATGCATCAATCCAGAAGTTTTCAGTACTATTCAGTGATTTATCCATTCTACCCATCCCCATCTTCTTGAATCCCTCCCGATTCATCCTCTTTTTTCCCCCCCCTCCCCCTTCTAACTCTTTATTCTGCAAAAGGTGCCTGCTATAACTTATGCAAGCCCATTTCCAAGGAGCTGACTAGATAAAAACAAGACATTTAAGCCAAGAAACTCAAATCATTGTTCATAGAGCACAGCTTTCTGGGAAGCACAGAATTGTCTAAATGAGCCAAGTATCCATCAGCTACTTTGAAACGTAAGTAAATAACCTGCCTCATCTCTTCAGGAGCCTGGAAACAAAACAGTATTTTCAGTTTCTCATCCTCAGGGGAGGACAAGTAAAAGCAGATACACACTCGGAGGTTTCAGTTTGCAAAACAAGCCTAACTGAAAGGCATTTTCATTCACTGCTGAGAGCAAATAAAGCACAGACTTTAATATTTGTTTCTGAAAGTACCAGTTTGAACACAGTAACCTCGGGATGCTTCCCATTCAAAAGTTCAGCTTTATGTTTTAAGTTGCTTACCATAGAAACAATGTTTTTACCTGCTCTATGCTACCTGGTAACTGGGTTGTGCCTTCATCTTCTCTCAATCTATTGTAGCTTTGAAAGAGATGGACAATATTTTGAAATCACTGTACACACTGACAGTTTTTACTAGTAGTCTACTTGATTTACTTATTCAAAATTTTATTTTGTTTGCTTGCTTGAGAGATGTAGACAAAATATATTTTTATGTCTGCTCAAGTCTCCCAGCTACTGCAGTTAAGTAGTAGTAACTCTTCCSTTCTAACTGGCTACAAAGTAGAGAAAACAGAGAAACCAACCGGAGCAYATGAGGGAAGCCATAATGATGCACAAATTGTTGACTCAGTAGCAAAGCAATTCACCTAGGATACCCTAAAAGGCACATACATACATACCTTAGAACTCTTCCGTAAGGTAAGGTATTACACAGGCCTGAAATCACATGATCCTGCACCCAAATATGCCAAATACTCCCTAGGTCAAGCAGTCTGCAACTATTTAGTGTCACTATTCAGCAACGGGTATCATCCCACCCTCTGCTAAAAACATTTCTATACTGTTCAGTGAGGTGCAATATTTATTCTGAAATTCTGAAAATAGGCAGTATGCTTGCAGCAGCCTATTAAATAGAAAGGMTTAAGATGTATTCCTACAGGTAAGAAATAAGTCTCCCAAGTGAGCTAGCATTATAAGAGCTGTTCCTCTGAAAAGGTAATTTCTGCCAATTTAATAAGGGTAAAAATAATTTCATACAAAAATGTAACAATTTCAGTTGAGAAGACTGAGAAGCACAACCCGCAGAATTTGTTCTGGGAATGCAGAGCAAGTAATTTAGAAAATGGAGTTTTAGTTATGAGTGCCATTAGAGACTTAGTCCCCTCTCACCAGATTTTTTTTTTCTCCCTAACTTTAAAGGTAGCTATTTAGGTCATTCTTTTTTTTTTTTTTTTTTTTTTTTATTTTTCCTACAGTAAAAAGCACTTAAAAAAAAATCACAGTCAGGTAGCAAATGAAAGTTACCTTGAGGGGCTTTTCAGTAGCACATAAACGATGATCTTGTTCCTGTTCCTACAGGACAGAAATCCTAAGCAAACTGGTCTCTGCATTAAAATCTGAAGGGACAGTGAAGACTAGGCAAGTTTCTGGAAAGCTATATTTGAGCAAAACCCTTTTTCAGACCACTTCATGAACTATTTTTGAGGACATGCTCAGAAAAATACAAAGTTATGCAAACACATTACTTTTTAATTCTGAGATATTGCAATAATGATCCAGTAAAACCCATCTTTAACACTTGACTGTTGAATAAAGCTCCTGCTTAACGGGCAATTCAAAGTTATTATAGAAAAAGGTTTGTGAAAGTTAACTCAAAATAATCTATAAATGCTCAAAATATAAAAGTTTATTTAGCTACAATATTAAAAAGTACGTATAAAGATATAAAACACAGAAATTGCATAATTAATTCACAGGCTATTAATTGACGAGGCACCAAGGAGACCATGAAATCTGTGGACATCTTAGCCATAAGGAGGATTTCATCAAGCTTCAGACTTGAAATATTGAACAACCATTGCAGAGAACTTGTTCACCAACATCACCATAACTAGGGAAAAGAAAACAACAAAACAAAAAAAAACAAAGTCAATAGACTGTCTTTGACTTTGCCCAGTGCAAATTGTAACTACAATTCCTCCATACAACACTCTCAGTATTCTTCTATATTACAGAGCTACTAACAATGATGGAAAAACAACAACAACAACAACAACAACAACAACAAGAAAAAAACAACCTTCAAGATTAGGCCATGGGAGTGCACTCAGTCATGTCAGCCAGCATACCATATTGCTGGCAGGAAAGCAACAGGCATTATTTTGTTTCCTAGAACATTTAAGTGAAAAACTGGACTAGACTTATACTAAAGTTAATTACTTCACACATGCATTTTATTTTCATTATGTTTTATGGCTTTACTGGAACAGTAAAGCCAGTGGAACAGGCTGTCCAGGGAGGTTGTGGAGTCTCCTACTCTGGAGGTCTTCAAAACCCGCCTGGATGCCACCCTGTGCCACATGCTCTAGGTGTGCCTGCTTGAGCAGGAAGGTTGGACTAGATGATCTSTAGAGGTCCCTTCCAACCTTGAATATTCTGTGATTCTGTAATTTACTGCAGCTAATTCAATAWGAGTATTTAAATCCCTCAGGTAAACAAAAAAATATTTGTTGAGTCTTCATCCACTAGGCCAATTTTGAGAGCATACATATTAAAAACAGCAGCTTGAGAAGTCTGTTGGGTACTTACTCAACAACAGAGCACAACGAGCAGGTAACTGCGTTACAGGAGCTGCAGAGCCTGCTGCAGTTCTGGCACACGAACCGGTCACACTGTGTACACGCTTCCTTAACATCGGCCGTTCTCACACACGAGGAACAGGCTTTGGATACTCCCACTGGTGGAACTGCTTGGAAGAGATGCAATTTAACGGTCAATGCACTTCAGAGCAAAACAGAAGAGTTGAAAAAGTATCTAAGAGTCCTGTGAGACCTGCAAGGGCATGTTTTGAAGAACAYGACTGCAGAGTGAGCAAAGGGCTCACTTGCTGAAGTGGGTAGAAAACAGCTGTAACAAAATTGCTACATTATTGCAGAAAACATGCCTACAATAGGAGCAACAGTTTCTAAAGGTTTTTTAAAAAAAAAAAAGTTATTTAAAACATTAAAAAAGGAACYGAGGCCTGCCAGAGGAGGTGTCTCCCGGCCACTCACCCTTTTCCATGGCGGCCGAGCGCCTCAGCAGCTTCCCGTCGTGGCCGATGAGCAGCTGCCCGCTCCAGCAGCGCCCCGGCAGGGTGTCCCGGGCCTCTCCGCCCGGCTCGGGCGAGCGGCTGACAGCGCAGGTGCCCGGGGCGCCGGCGGGCCAGGCGCCCTCCATGTACGCCTGGGCGCCCCTGAAGAGCAGCCGCCGCGTCCTCTCTGCCGAAGGGAGAAACGCGTTAGAGGCGACCGTAGGGCTAGGGGAAGGGGCAGCGGTGGGAGCGACCTTCAGAGGGACCGTTAGGGGCGGCTGGGGCAGCGCTGAGGGAAGGGGCGGCGGTTGGGGCGACCGTTAGGGGCGGCTGGCGCAGCGCTCAGGGCGCAGGCCGGGCCCAGCGCTTCCCGCCCGCYCTGCCTCCCCGACCGCTCACCGAAGACCTCCCGCCGGTACTCCTCGCCTCGCACGCCGCGGCTCAGCTCGCGCAGCCCAACGCGGGTCTTCAGCTGGAGCGGGGCCGCGTCCCCGAAGGGGCACGAGCGCTTCGGCATCGCGGCCCGCGCGGGGAGCGCACCGTGGGAGGAACCGCCGCTGCCGCCCGTCCCCCTCCGCGGGAAGTGACAGCAGCACTGGCCAATCACGACTGCCGGCGCTCGCCTTTTTCATGCGTCATGGCARCTCTTGGCCAATGGCGATAGGGGGCGGGAGAAAGGAAGCGCGGGGCGCGGGATGGGCGGGGCCGCGCTGAGGAGAGGTGGAGCGAGATGGCGGGCGGCCCCTTTGAACAGTCCGAAATTCTGGCTTTTCAATAAACTTGCTGACGTTTTGTCCTCCTTTTCTGCCGTAGAAGCCTTGTGCTGTGTTTCTCGATTTCATATAAGTCTTGCTAAAACTTAACCTGCCCCTGACATTATTTGAGATCTCTAAGTGCCACGAAACCACCTAAAAGATCTATAAATGTAAGAGTTTACTTTTTTTTTTTTTTTTAATAAAACAAAGGCACAACCTCATGCTAGCCAGAGACTCTTGTCACAGCGTGGTAGTAACAAAAGCAGCAGCAACAACAAAAGCTCTCTCTTGTCAGAATCTGTTAGTAACAAAAATCAGAAACCTGATTTGCTAGGAGAGGTTCACTAACATTTCTGAAAATGAACATTTCTGAGTGACTGAGCAGTCAGTCATATAGTATGGTGTAGTATACAATACTATGTATCATATGTATATATTATATCATATATATCATATATATTATAATATATAATATGCACTATGTATATATATTACACACATATACACACACATATATACATCATATTATATACCATACATATTTCAGTACATATTTCAAAAATGCCTTGTTTTCCTTAATGCAAACAAGACCTTCAACACCATCATTGGTAATCTTGGCATAAGTGCTGCAGTTTGTTTGGGTTTGTATTTTTCCAAGAATTCATCTGTCACAAAAATTGCATTTCTTCCCCCCCCCCCCCCCCCCAAAGAGGTTTCTGTATTCAAGCTTTTAATCATTATATATGTGAGGTGGAAATTCTGAACAGAATCATGAGTAAATTTTCCAGCAATTAACACTGAAATTATGTTTTATTCCTTTAGTTGTTGAATTACTGACACTACTAGGATACAGGTCACAATCATTGTGATTTCATACAGTTTCATGTTACTTTTCTTTTTCTTCTTCCTGTAGGACTTCTTGAATAGCCAAGCTGATCAAGTTCTTACTGTCTGTGGAATGGAAGCTACAGCTGTAAAGCACAGTAATTTATAAAAATACCTCCTGTGCTGCAAGTTCTTATTCTTGCCAAATGTTCCTAAATTGTGAAAAACTCAACTTAGTTGTCTTGTGTAGGTACTTGCAGATGCTCTCCTAAAGATGTTCAATAGCAATTATTCCACTGTGCTTTGAAAACTCATGGTCTTCTCTTTATTTCTGGTTAAGGAAATGTCTTAGCAAATTATCGTTAAATACACACACTGGGGTCCCTGAAGCTCTCTGGGAAGTATGTGCGAATCAAAATGTAATCCCAGGCAGACTGCTGTTCCTGTTCAGGATAGAGAGCAGTAGATCACAAGCTTCATTAACAGGACACAAGTATGGATGAAGATGAACTGTGTGGGATATGAAGATAAAAGCACTATTCTGCTTAAAGTTAAAAGAACTATTCTGCTTATGGCAAAGAATGCTCTGAGTGTCTGATTTTGGAATATGGAAAGATTTTGAAAGGAGCAGCATGTGCTATAGCAGTGCTGCTGGAGCTTTCACTGAAGGGAAAATGTAAGGGCACTTTCCCTTGATTGACACACGACATAGTCAAGATGTTCTACTAGGATTACATTTGCAACCTGCCACCAACCCTCCACCACAGGGCAAATGCAGGAACCTTCTGTTGCAGCAATCTGAGTCAGCCTCAGGTGGTGACACCTCTTTTTTAATTGCTTTGCAAGCCTCAGCCCTAACAACATCTGTTACTGATCAGATACTTTCTATTTGAAATCAAAAAGGCAGAATAATTCTGTTTTGTCTCCATCAGCATAGTCTGTCACCCTATAAGGGGAGAATTGGTTTATCTGCCAGTCAGGATGATTCCCTAGTATTTCATCAATTTGATAGCAATAAGCTTTGAGGAAGATTCGCTGGTAATTTGGAAGTAGAAGAAARACTGAGATTTGATTTGGCAAAGTTTGCTGGCATTGAACATTCATGAAAATTAATGCTGACAATCTCAAAGTTAATTAATGAGTTTGTGTATTATGTTACACAGCTTCTGAATATGCAAAAACCCCAAGCAAATCCCAAACCACTGATAGTAATTGTGAAATATGATAATTTTGGCTTATCCTTGAAAACATGTTTGTGAAAGAAAACAGGAAATAAAAATGACACAATCTTTTCCTTTCTGTTCTACTTTCTTGTACCCATTTAYGAATGCTACAGACCCACCACCTGGATGACATCTTTATAACTCACAGAATAAGGAGAATTGCATTAAAATTCTCCTTGAGTTAGAATTTTCTATTTCTGCTAAACAGATTTCGAAAGTCAGGCTGGATCATGGYTGTAACCATGATAACTCTGCCCTCTGTAATATCCCATTTCTGCCAGTAGAAGGTGCTTCAAGAAAGAGCAAGGACAGACAGTTCTGGCCCTAGTTGACCTACGATTTCTAGCAGCTTAGAAATCTTTGGATCCTAGAGTTCCTTGTGGATCACAGTATAGATAGGCGCCTTCTTTACGAGGTTGTCCGATCCACTTGTAGAAACCAGAAACATATTTAATTTCTTCTTTTGTCTTGTAAGTTCTACAACTTAACAATATTTAAGAAAATGCTGCTTTTGGTTTGTTTTTTTGGTATGCTACCTGTTAATTTCACTGAATTTCTCATGGTTTTATGAAGAATAATGAGTAAAAAAATCCTTATTCTTTCTCTTCACAGCATTCATGGTTATAAAGACATCTGACAGGTTTTCCTTGTCTATCTTTTGTTCAAGGCRAAATGTTTTGTCCTGTTGAAGCCCTTCTTGGCAGTGTGCACACAACTCAGCACCCAGCACCTATGCCAGGTCCTGGAGCTCAAGGTGACAGACCCTCCCTCTGSAAAGGCATTAAATGGTTTGGGATGGGAGGGAGGAAGACCTCTGCATTGGGTAACAGSGGACTAGGTGGCTATGTATTAGCAGCAAACCTCACTTGTAGCATATACATAGCCACGGAGGTCCTTTCTGAACATTTCATACCCTACTCCACCGTTTCTGAAGGTTGGTGGCCAGTATTCCAGCCTTGGGCATGCTAGGAACCAAGATGTCCTAAATCTAAAGATTTCCTCTTGGTTCCTTCCCTAATATTTTCTGATTTATCATTTTATATTACTGCTGAGTATGAACTGATGTTTCCAGGAAATTATTTATAAATGACTCTGAAGATGACTCCCCTGAGTGGTAATTACTAATTTAGAGCTCCTCACTGTGTATATATAGCTGAGGTTATATTTCCCCCTTACATGTTCCTGCATACTGCACAATGCCATTGCCATTTATCATCACTTTAGTATAGTGAAAGCCTGAAAAACACACAGCTCTTCCCAGTTGGTTTCTAGATTTGACTTTTAACAATAATTCAGCAAACGCTAATCCCTCACTGCTCACCCCCTTTCTCAGAATATTTATAAATTCATCAAGCTGCACAGACGTCTTGCCAGAACTTCCTCTACTGTGAAATCATTTATTCTTACCATTTGTTTCCTGTCTTTTAATGAGATATTAATATGGAAAATTCTTTGCTCTTGTTCTGTGGCAGATGGTTTTTAAAAGAGGTTTCTTTTCATGAAAGGCTTTGTTAAAAAAAATTGAAGCCATAAACACATGTACTATTTGGATCACCTATGTCCATATGCCTATTAATCCCTTCACAGACTTCTAAAATGTTTTTGAGACATGTTGACCATTTTCCAATTTCTCATATTTATTCTCATACTTATCCATGTGTCTACTAAAACTAGTTTTCATGAGACTTTCTACCAAGTGAGGTTTACTGATCCCTTTGTGAAAATTGGTCGCATATTCCTTTGGCTTTGGGGAAATATACACCTTACAAATACACTCAATATACACATGCAGACCTCTGCTACAATACACTTTGCCCACAAAATGTACAGATTTAGACTTTAAGTCCCAATAAGCAATGGGAGAATGTTAAAGTTCTGTTTCTGATCCCTCTGTAACACAAATCATGCTAAATGTTTGCTGTCAGCCATGCTCCCAGCTACCCCAAAATTTAACTTTTTAGTAGTTACCACTGACCAGGTACATTGGAATCAGGATCACAGACACTGTAAATTACAGACATTGTAAATCAAGGCTGGACACTTTCTTAAGAGAAAAAGAGSTTACCTTGTTTGGAAAAGAACAAAATGAGGAAAATTCTGCCATCTGTTTTAAGCAGGGTGTCAGACAAAATATCCAAAATGTCTGTTCTGGCTCCATGAATCTAAATATTCATCAGCCTTCAGTCATCACGTCTGTGCCCCACCTTGCAAGCAATCTTTACATTTTAGCATAGCAAAGTATTCCACCTTAGGAGTAGGTGAATATCCAGAGGATTCCACTAGCTTTTAAATTGTTCTAAATTCCAAATCTGCTCCAATCTTTCATTATTGGGCTACTTAGAAATAAACGCAAACACCTTGCATAGAGGTAGCAGCCTGAGAACCATCAGAGCAGCTTAAAGCTGCTCCTTTATTTTTATGCCCTTTGATTTCCCAGCCTTCACAGCCAACATGTTCACAATTCCTACCAAAGGGCTGCACGCGACTCAGCTGTTATCTGTTAGCAAGTGCCAGGACACAGATGTGTGTCATTTTACTGTGACCACTTAGCACTTCTAATCCTGATGAATTAGTGAGAAAAGGTCTGTCAAGTGAGTGAGGTGCAGYGTTAAGGGCGAGCTATTGAACCATGCTGTTACTAAGCCAAAATTCTGCCATCATGGCATGGGAGCCAGTAGCCAGTACGTGCTGTTAAATTAGCATGAGATGGAGGA